CACATCGTTCCCTGCCAGAGCCAGAGCATCCAGCATCCAGAGGGAGTGCTGAAAGCCTTTCTGCTCCGCATAAGCACACACGGAAACTTTTATGAGCTGCGCGTAAATGTGCATAATTGTTTCGTGTACCCAATGTTACTGGCATGCATTTAACGAAGTGCACTCTGATCGGGCCAAGAAGTCACAGTAGCGGGGAGGAAGTGGTGGCGGCTCCAAGACGGCGCTAATTAGAATGCCAGCGACAGGCAAAAAGGAGGAGAGATAGTCGTCATCAGCAGCCAGAAGCGCGGTGGTGGAAAATTTGTAGCCTGCCGCCAAGAAGTTGGTGAGGGCCTCCACTTCTTACCTTCTTTTTTGCCATTTTATTTGAACAACTTAGGCACCGAAAAGTTCGTTTCGCGTGCTGGCAAAAATGCAACGTCAACGCCTTGAAGGTGGACGCAGTGGTAAAAGGATATGTGTGTGCGTGAGTGTGTGGAGTGTGCGGTTGGTTAAAAACATTAAGTTAACTTTTGCAAACGAGTGGCAGGCTAAAATTAAAATGGCAACGCCAGAGATGCTTACCATCAGCAAAAGCTACAGAGCCACCAGAAGAGGAGTGTCAAATTAATTTAAAATAGTTCATGTTTGAGAAGATCGGAAACTCATACCTTGTAGGGGCATATATTCAGGTACATATGTAACTTTAATATTTTTGAAGCTGTTCAGTTGCAGGATCATACGCCGTCCATGGAAGAGATCAGACAACAGAAGGTTTTTTCTTTGATATAAATATTTTTTTTATAGAAAAACTCCCTCAGTGTTCAGAAATTATTTCCTATTCATACGCCAGAATGTAAATTCTTTTTTATTTTTAGACATACAGCAGTTTGCAGTTGCATGCCGCACGCTTAGAGTTTTCCCGGCCGGCCACAACTGTTGCCCAAGAAGCCAGAAGTAAAACGCAGTCGGGGACCGGCTCAAAATGAAAAATCACAGCGCCGTGCAGAGGTGTCTCATTCCCATTGCCTTTTTCACTTCCGTTCTTTTTCGTTTGCCCCTCCCTCTTTTCCCTACCAAATTTTCTGTTGTACCACCAGTGCTGTCGACCTTTTTCCAAAAATATAAAAATACTACTAACTTGAACTAAATCAGCTTTAAATATCTGTAAAAGAAATAAATTAAAATCTAGTATTAATTATTCTTATAATTTAAAATCAGGCTCTAATATAAGCTCAAAGGTATTTTAAAAATTATGGAAATAGAAAACCATTTACCTTAGGATCATTTTACTTGATAAATAGGTTTATCCATTCATTTCGCATGTTATTTGCTTTCTTACTTAGTTGGGAATAGTTTATCGGCAACACTGACTCCCTTTGGCATTTAAGTTTCGTAAACCTAAATAAAGTAATGTATTTAAAAAATTCAACATTTTGTGTTAAAGACTCTTTACCGCATATATTTTTTTTATAAAAGAAAATAACTTTTAAGAATGTTTGGAAAATCAATGAGAGAAGGCCCAGCTCATTTACAATTATATGAAATTTTTTTATAGCTATTGGTCAATATTATTAGCAAGTATTTGATTTTGTAAATATACTTGGGAGCTATATTTTTATTTTTAACAATAAATGTGGCTTTTGTGCCCATTGTCCATTGCCCAGGGAGGTCCTAGCGTTTTATTGTGTTCTGCTTGGTGTGGCAAAGTCATATTCATTCATTCATTCACTTCTGACTTGCAACACATTTTTATATCCTTTTTTTGTTGCTCTTTTTTATGTGAAAAGTGTGAATTTGAATGGTCTTGTATTAGTTTTATTTCAGTTACTTGCATACACTTCTCACATTCACAGACACTCTTAGCTTTAGCAAAATTATGAACAGATAAAATATAAATACCAGACACTTTGAAACAGCTTTAATTTTTCAAAAAATACTGTTTTCTTTTGAAAAAAATTAATATTATCAGTAAAGTCATAAACATTAGAGTATTTAGAAGAATATGAACCTACCATGTCCTGCCCTTTCGTTTTATTTGTATTTTTTTTTTAGAGTTTTCATTTCCTTTTTGAACATTTTTCCCATCTGTCTGTGCTTTGGCTTTTTGATGTGTCCCATTTTGCGTTTTGTGTGTGCAGTTAAAAGATTTATAAATATGAATTTTATATACATTGTGGCATGAAAAATGCAAATTTTAGAAATGGCCAAAGGAAATAGAAATGGTCATGGGCAGAAGCACAGTTTTTACTATTTCCCTCAAAAGACTTTCGTGGCTGGGATTCCCTCTGTCCCTGTCCATCTTTCATTTTGTTTTGTATTACTTTTTTTGTTGTGTCTCTTCAAACGAGTTTTATAGTTTTCCCCGGATTTTTTTCGGCACACAGATGCTTTTAATGACCAAGAGGGTATTGCAACGAATGCAACAAATGGCCAGAAGAACCACGAAAATAATACCCTCTTGTTGCTATCAAAGCTGGTATATTACACTTGGTGCAAGAAATATTTAAAAATATAAAATATTTTGTTGAATGAACTATAAGTACTTAACCAGGTCGTAGATGAGTAAAGCTTGTTCATTAATTTATTTTAATATCTATATGTATGTGCGTTTAGGGTATCAACACGCCCAGTTAAAAGTATCTCAAAAATTGTTATGTTATTACTAGATAATTAATTGCTATTTGTTGATGATTTTTTCTACACCAACTCGTTGAATGAACTTGTCGTTGTTGTGTTTGTTGTTCAACGCCATAAATCAGTAGACTTTTATGCAGAATATTCCGGAAATTTCATAGGCTAAAATTGGCAATTGGCTTGGTGGCCAGGATTATTAATATTTATTAACATGCGGTGCATGATTAATGCGAGCTAATGAAATTGGTTAAAGCGTCGAGAGCCGAGAAAAAAATGGCGTTTGAAATGCACAATTAAAGGTTTCAAGTTGAATTGTAGAGTGTAATTAATATTAAATATCATCAATTATTCTAAGCCTGCACATTTTGCCGGCACAGTGTGCTAATAAGGGCAAAGGGGCTGGGGAAATCGCTAACACCATTTAAATCAATTAAATTATGAATGAGATTAAAATAATTTAATGATGCTCAATGAGTCTGTCCGTGTTTGGCCCCTCCTAGCCTCTTGATGACAGCCATAATATACATGTTGCATGCTGCAATTGCAGTTAATTAATAATTCAATAAACTTTTGTCATTCCACTTGAAAGAATTTCACATAATTGTCATCAATAAAACGTGTCTGCTTTTGAAACCAATGACATAAATTATGATTATTATGAATTTAATCCACAGCTAAGGAAAGAAGTGCTCATCTGAAGGGTCTGCTAATTGTTAAGTGCATTGCCGCAGTACTTGTTGTAATTAAAATGTTCAAATAAAGGGTTTTAAGGATTTAAATTAAAATTACCCGATGCCACAAAAAATGTCATTTTATGGTGCATTTTTATGGCACTTGATTGAGTGATTAAACAATTAAGAGCTTAATGAGGCCACTCTTAAGGCATGTAAATTATGTTTTGTGCGATTGAATAAACTAGCGAGAATATATATATATATTTTTTAAATTAGAAAGTACCTTGAGCCAACAAAATTTTATTTGAAATTTAAAGACTTTGTTCAATACAAAAGCGATTACTAAATACATCCAAGTGTAAATATTCTGACTATTAAATTCATAAAAAAACTAAATTGTACAAGTTTTTGTTAATTTTTTTATTAAAGGAAAGGCTACGTTTATATAAATTGAAATTATTTATTTATTTATTATTTTTTATTTATTTGTATAATGGCGAATAACAAGCTAAATAAAATAGTAATTCCCCGCAAGATTATACAAAATTCAAGTTTCTATGCTCGATGATATTAGTGGATTACTATGACATGTTTTATTTTGTTAAAAGTATATTTTCTTCTGCCGAAAGCTAAGAAAAACAAAGGGTCCGCCTTTTGCATAATTTCGATGGACATTCCCGACTTTGTCATTGTTGTAGAATTCACAGGAATTCGGGGAATTCTCCCCCAAGTTCTCCGAGCCACCGACGGCAGTCAATTTTCTTGTTTACACTGGGGCACACACACCTCTCACCTCCCCCCTCTGGACACACTCACACGCTAACGCACTCGCTCTCGCGCACACAATGACAAATAGCAAACAATTACAATGGGCAGGGGCACAGGCTCCGCCCCCTTATCTCTCTTCGACGAGGCCTGTTGTTGTTGGTTTTTGGCCGCAATAAATACAATTTGCATGACAAAATAGCAAACAACGGCATCTTTTGCATGTGTGTGTGTCCGTGTGCATGTGGTGCATGTGCATGGGGGGGGACCTTTTGTGGGTGGAAAGAGGCGTCTACAGGCTCACTCAGCCAAACGAAACTGCACACAAAAACAATCAACTGCGCGTCCGAGGCAACAACAAAAAGGCAAAGACTTAATTTTAGAGACTGATTAATAAACTACCCTACAAATGTGCTAAAATAATTTTTTATGGGAACTCAAATAAGGTGTAGATATATAGTGATATTTTATTTTAAGAACCCTTAAAGCGACTTTAATTAAGAAAATAATCAAAATTATTTAATCATTTAAACCCCTAATTAATGGTTTAAATAAGAATACCCTTAGTGAGGGTATAACAAGCGCAAACGAGGCAGTGGCTGAGGCCTGTAGTTAGACTTCTGCCGCTACTGTGAAACAACTTATGAATATTCAATTTTACATAAAAGATTTTTTGTTGCCTCTGCCATAGCCGTTGTTATTTCGAGTTTTTGTTGCCACCGGTCTTTCTGCTGCTCTTTCGTAGGCTCCTGGCTGCAGTCTCCTTTTTTTTCCTCCTGTTTTTCCGCTGCCCCTCATGGCTGCCAAATCCCTTCATGCATGCCACGAAATGTGGAAAATATTGGTAGCGGCTGTCCTTCATACCAACACCAGCCAAAGGTTAATAACAAAGTTCTGCTCGAAATTAGGCAATGGCGGAATACACGAATGATTCAGTCTACACAGTTTGATATTCATTTGACTTTTTATTGATTTTAAGACCATTTTTTAGGCCTTTTAGAAATTTTAATAATATAGTTAAACAAAAATTTATGTCACGACAATAGAGAATTTGAAGGGAGAATTTCCTTAGCGACCTTAATCCAACTCCAGATCCTTCTCGTCGGAGCTGCTTAGGGACTGGTATTTTGACACCTTCATGGTCATCAGGGACTTGAGTAAATCATCCATCCGAATCTCCAGCTGCTCGCAGTCCTTGAATTCTTCCTCGGACTCGGTCTTTGCCAGGCCCAATTCCGATTCCGATTCCGTTTGGTTCCTGCCTCGCATAATTTGGCGCATGCGGCATATAAATGCGTGGCGGCATAGCTCTCGCAGATCAGATCCAGAAAAGCCGGTGGCCAGCCGAGCCAGCTCCTTGAGGTTTACAGAAGGATGAAGCTGCTCGGACTGCAGAATTAGCTGCAGAATTTCCAGACGCTGGCAGTCCCGAGGCGCTTCTATATAGAACTGGAGCGACATTCGACGGAGAATGGCCTTGTCGAGGTCCTGCGGACGGTTGGTGGCCCCCAGCACCAGCACGCAGGCGTTGGCGTTGCTAATCAGCCCGTCCCAGCGTATCATGAACTGGGTCTTCATCATGGCCGTGGCTTCGTGATCCCCGCTGCCGCGTACCCGCAGAAAGGACTCGATCTCGTCGATGAAAATGATGCAAGGTTCTAGCTTCTGGGCCAAGGTGAACACGGCCGAGGCTAATTTCAGGCTCTCGCCGTACCACTTGTCCTTCAGCACGCTCACGTCGAGATTGATGAACCGCATGCCGGCATCCTTGGCAATAGCCTTGGCGATCAGCGTCTTGCCACAACCGGGTGGTCCATGCAGCAGGACTCCTTTGGGCGCCTGGCACAGCTGCGAGCGGCTGAAGAGGTCGCGGTGGCGCACCGGCATCACCACCGACTCGCGAAGCTCGTTGACTACCGCATCCAGTCCGGCAATGTCCGCCCAGCTCACGTCGATGTCGTCGGGAGTCACTAGGAGCGAGGCGATCATCACCTCGTGCTCGTTGAGGTCCTGGGTGCGGAACTTCGGCGCGTCCCTGCCCGCCACCGAGTTTAGCTTGCGCAGCTGCTCCTCGGCCGTTTTCTTGGCCTTCTTGCGCACCTTGCAGTGCGGGTCCAGCAAGCTGAGCATCCACTGGCCGCTAAAGTAGGTGATCGCGCTCACCGCCCCCACACTCAGCACCATGGCCGCGATCTGGCTAGGCTTTAGGTCTGGCGAGTCCATTGTACGCAATCTGTCTTGGGTTCGGTCCGCATTTGCGGTATAGAAACGTCAAAGGTAATATAAAACCTGTGAGGCAAGTAAGTAAGGGATGCCTGTTCTTGCCCAAATATAGTTTTTCGAACGAAAATGTGGAAACTATAACAGATTTTTCCCATGCTGCCTTACGAACTTGAATATTCAGCCTGCTTTAGTTTCTCTATAAATGGCAGAGGCGATTTAATAGGAACAATGCACTTTATTAGAGATCCATTTCCAGAACAATGATTTTTGCCAGCGCCCTTTCAGGCCATTGCCCAGCTGCGTTTTAATTTGAGCTTAACTCTTCCTGCGCCAGGACTTTGACGGTAACCTGCAAGAACTGCAAGAAAAACCATACAGCAGGCGGGTGCGGGAGCGGGAGCGGTAGCGACGAAGAATGTTTTCCAGTTTAGTATCTTTTAGCGGAAGTCAATGTAACAAAAGATAAACTTGTCGGGCCAGCTGCTGTTTCTTGTTCGCTGTTTCTAGCTGGAAGGCTGCCTCGCTGTTTCCCAGCATCCTGCTGGATTGAACGCAAAGGCCGAAGCGTAGGACGGTCAGAGAAGTATTCACTAAACACTGCAGCATTTTATCTCGAACCCGCTTACCCCTTGCCACCCCACCCCCTTTGGCTGCACGTAGGTCAGTTCTGCGCTTTGTCTTATAGTTTTTGCGCACCCCTTTCTCTTTCTTTGCTCTCCTTTCCCCCGGAAGTCGCTGTGCACTGTGTTGTTTTGAGCTTCCTTCCGCATTACAAAAGAATTACTCAACACAATGTCTGGCCGAAGTTTTCCACGACTTTCAAGAGGTACCCTTCTGCCCCAACCCGGTTTCTTCCCAGTTGCACCAGCTCAGGTGGCCCCCAAAATTGGTATTTCACAAAGCTCTTGTTGGTTTTTAATCCAACGTTTTGACCATTGTGTGTGCTGATCAAAAATGAAATCAAATTGCCAACTCGGAAGTTGGATTACAATTTTCCAACTGGATATAAATTGAAGTTGCAAAATTGTCGACAAGTTCATGAATATTAAAACCAAACCTTTGCTGGGATTGTCTTTTAGTCTCGTTTTACAGGCTGTACTTCTTTAAGATCGAATCTAAATATAGTTAAATAATTTAAATACATTTTTTAAAGTCGAATCTTCAATTTTTATATCAAAACAGAATTATAATTATATGAGGAACTAATGAATGTACATTATAATCATTATTTCTGGGTAACAACTTCTTAGTTGCTAAATCTGATCCGTCTTTAGCTATTCTCCATTCATCTAATTATTACGGAATTCGAGTGGTATTCATCACCTACTGACGCGAATTTTGAGCTACAGGCAGAAGGAGAAGGTATGTATCCTGAGTGCACTTCGGGTGCAATTTCAGTGAGCACTTTGTGCTTCGTTAGCGAACTACAAGCCGCCCAATTCCCACCTTCACGGAACCCTGCTTCCTTTGAGACCCAGTTCAAGGCTTCATAAAAATCTCTTCAACTGTGCAATATTTCAAGATTTCACTTTAATCTTTTCAACACTGCACTTTTTGTCTCCCTTCCGCTCAATACTTGTCCTCCTTAACCCACTCTATCCCTGCTATTGCCTTTGCGAATTCATAGTTGGCTTCGCTGTTCCTTCGTCACCCTTTGAGCCTTTGCAGCAGTCGCTAATATTGTAATAATAAGATACAAGGTACTTGAGTTCAAGATATCAAGTGGATGGAAAGATAGGCAGGCAGACAGGCTGCTGCAGCTGATAATAATCACGATTTTTTTGAATATTGCCTTTAAGATTTATGTACATTTTTTTGACGTTTTGTAGAATACAAGACATTCTATTTAGTGGGAAGTTCTTAGTCGGTACACAGGTTAAATGACTTCCTTATATTCTTTTTCAGATTTCAAGTTCCACTGAGCACAGGAAAAATTTAATTATTCTTAGTCTTGCTTTAAAGTGCTTTATTACAATACAAGTCTTTACTATTTTATAAATCTAATGCTAATTTTTTCTAGGATCTGTCAGTTTTTTTTCACTTTTCTTTTGCAGCCTGCCGTGAATTATCTTATAGAGTTTATCCACATGGGGCGACAAATAGACATCCAGCCTGACGATACCCTCGATTTCCGTCAGTAGGGCTGAGGTGATCTCCAGGTGTCCCTCGTGGAAATTGAACAAGGCGCTCCTCATCTTCGGCGAGAGCTCTAAAAACGGCTTAAAGGCTTCCGAGTTAAGTAGTTCTGCCTGCAATTGAAACGTCTCGAATGTGGCCAAGGCGCACAGTCCGGCATAGAAACACACGTCCTCGGGGGCCACGATCTTGTCGTAGTCGTACTGGCCAAAGGGAGTCAGCAGGAAGTGCTGCGCCGCCAACTTGAAGTTCTTCAGACCCATGTTGGCCAGGCCAGCGGCGCAGCTGAGACGGGCCGGTACTTCCTGCGATAGGCTCTCGAACCCCAAGGCGTACTGCTTGGCCTCGTCAATGTAGGTGAGCACGTGCCACCAGTTGGTCATGTAGATGGAGACCCGGATCAGGTTGCGGAACAAGGTGATTACATTGTCACTGCTCGTGCAGTAAGACCTTGCGCGGGCATAAAACTTGACGGCGAGTTGCAGGTTGCCGCTCTTTTCGTGGAAGTCCCCTATCTTCTCCAAAACACGACGTATATGGGGGCTGCCGGAGCTCGACTTCTTGAAGTTCAGTGCAGCATCCAGCTCCTGGATGAGCAAGGTGGCCTCCATCATGTTGTCCTCTACCCAGCTGTTGTCGTAGGGCAGGACCACTCGGCGCATGCCACTAGAGGTGCTTGCCTCGTCGTCGTCCATCCCTTGGGCACTTTCCAGCGGTGAGTTTTTGGTCACTTCGCCGCAGAGGGACCTATAGAGCTCGTCGTACAGCTTGACATTGTAAGTAGACTTTACGTGTTCGATGGCCAGCCTAAGGGCCGACACCCTTAACTTTGGGCACACCTCCGCTATGAACTTTAGGCGGAGAAGGCGTGGAATTTCCGTGTACCGATCAGCGTAACTGGGCAGGTGCAGCGTGGCCACATCTGAACCCATCAGATGTGCTTGAGCTTCTTCAGCATCTGCGGTCATCTCTGGAGTGTTGGGAAGGTTGGGTTTTTTCGAGGCAGTGTCCAAATGTGAGTTATTTTGAGAGAAGGGAGCTCTACGATGTGACAAGATAAATGTCTTAAAATAATATATAGATTTTTGGGTGACTTTTTACCTGTAACTGCAACTGTATGTGCAAATTGCTGTAAAAGTGTTACGGACACTTGGCCGCCAGATTGCGTGACATGCCCGCACAAGTGCAACTCGCCTTAGCAATCCGCTATTCTGTATCTGCAGATTGCCAGACTTGGTTACAATGCTCGTAGAAATTCGAATTCCATTACAAAGATACAAATCAAATTGGCAAAAGGTATTGAGAGGGCTCAAGCGCGGTTGGGGAAAGCAAAAATCAAATTACCAGAACTTGAAAAATCGCAGACATCACAGACCCATAAATCAGGCACCGAAAGCAGGGAAATCGAAACGTATACATTAGGAATGGTTACCGCTAGTTAACGGCTTATTGATGCGTCGCTTTTGGCTGAATTTATTGGCCTGGTCATTGGTCCTTTGCTTCCGCACACGAAAATGCAATATTGGAAAAATCTAAGGTAGAGAAAGGCACGTGCAGAATGCTTTGAAATTGATTATAATATTTCTTTATTTGGCTCAATGTTTCATCTTGCCTAGATAATATTTACAAATAAATTTTAAACTATTAATATATAATTAAACTTTAGGAACTTTACATTATATATTTAAAGTGAAACCCACAACAACAAACTTTAATTATGAAACACATAATTTACGGAAAAATAAAGCTATTCAATGAACAATCTTTATAATAAAAAGACCAGCTGAATAAGTCGGTCTCTGGAAACAAAATCTTGTCAGGCTGACCCAGATTGACCCACGGCAGAGAAAGCCAACACGAGCGGCAATTAAAAAGTAATCATCCTCAACCTCCGCCAACGAATTCGAACTAAAGTCTTCTTGATTTGAGTGAATTTATGTATAGCTATCAAGCTGAGATCGCTCACATTGATGAACAAAACAAAATTCTAGTGTCTTTGGTAGGAAAATGATGAAATTTTGCATATCATTAAAAATTGCTTGACTCTTCTCCTGAAAATTTAGAAACCTTCCAAATAAAAAGTAAAATTATTCAGTATGCAGTGAAAAATTTACTTATTTTATTATAAGCTTTAATATAACACAGTAAATTTCCAAATTAAATATATATATATATGTTTCTCTCTTTATATCAATATCCTCTTATTCATCTCAATTAAGCGCTGTTTATTGTCGTCAAGGAACTTACTCATGTTGCCGTAAAAAGTGGCATTAAAGAGATTGTTTTGGAGGACCACCCATTTTAAGTTTTTCAGCCCGTCACAAACATATAAATAGTCAAAACTGGTCAGCCTATTGCCATGCAGGTAAAGGCTTTCAAGATTTTGAGCTTTGTCAAAGGATTCCATCGATACGCTCTCCAGTAAATTATGTGAGAGGTCCAGGATGGTAAGATTGGGTCCAAAAAGAGGGCACATTCGTGGAAGCTTTTTCAGTAAATTATGGCCCATAGCGAGGAACCTGATATTCGGAAAGTTACCCTCTTCCTCCTTGGGGGTATCCAAATCGAATAAGAGTTCTAAAGAATCGTATTCCAGTTTGTTATGGGAGATGTCCAGGGTGGTTAAATTGGGTCCGAAAAGAGGTAGCCTCCGCGGAATATAATTTAATTTATTGCCCATCAGGTGAAGGGATTGTAGATTGGGAAAATTACACTTTTTTCCATTTTCATCCATTTCGAAGTAAGAGTAATCGGAAGATTTTGTGCAATTCCACAGGACCAGATAATCAAGGGATGGCATGTCACAAAGGACCTGTACGAATGACCGGTGGAAATAGGTTCCATTAATCCACGCAAACGTTACTTTACTGTTTTCATGATGTATTTCGCTAACGCTTCCGGTGATCGCTAATCTTTCAACTCCGCTGTTCCTCAGGTATAAGTCGCTTACTCTTATTGACAATCGCAGGTCCGTTAATTCTTTACAATCACTCACATCAAGTTTTATGATAGTCAGGAAGGTCCAAATAGGAAAGTCTAAAGTCAGAATCTTCAATGGGTTTCCTCTGAGAGAAAGCACTTGCAATTTCGAATTCATCAAAAAAATATCTTTCGACAGAATAGAGATGTTGTTATTATTTAAGTTTAGTTGATAAAGCCTCTCCAGGGGATGAAATACACCTTCCGGAAGGTCCTTGATCAAGTTGTGCTGCAGGTATAAATACTTCACGTTGGATAGTTTGTGGAAGGTTTCGTTGGACAATTTTTCTATGAAGTTCCCGGCCAGTGCAAGCTTCTCCAAATTAATAACATTTTCAAACACGTGTTGTTCTAATTCCGAAATGGGGCAGTTGGTGATATTGATCATGTTAAGCTTGGTCATTGGGGGCAAAACGTCAATTTTAAAGTCACTGCTGCAGTTAAACACGTATAAATGTTCGAGATTAGGAGTAACTTTTGTCACCTCCAAGTCTGAGGCGTGTCGCCAGACAAGTAATTTAATTTTTGGAGCCGGTTTATCCGTGTATATCGAAGTATTTTTAGGCCAACATGCTTCAAAGGGACAAACTTCCTCAAAATCTTGGTTTCCAAGGACAGAGGCTGCCATTACAAGCAGCACAAATAGAGTAATCATGTTAAGTTATAAATTTAGTGTTCTTTTCTTTCCGAATCAAACCAGACTAGTCTTTCCGAATGAAGAAATAAAACTGAGCGGATAGATCCGATCTAAGCGAGTACGAAGAGCTAACTAGAACTAGAGTGGCAACTAATCAGCTCTTGGACCCGAGATTACAGATGAAAATAGCTACAATAAAACAGGAAGCCGACTTCTCCAAGTCGAAGTTTATATACCCTCGCAGTTATAACATATTTAATTAACATACAAACTTGATCTCAATTTAAAATTTAGTGGGTCATTATTTAATAAAAGCTGCTCAAGGCTCTTGAAATATTTCCCAGGTGGCCGCTCAGCTTAGGTTCTTAGTGCTTCTTGCGGTAGTGCCTCCACACTTCGCACATGGACGGCTTCATGAGGCAGTTGCACTCAACGGGCGCGGCGTCCGGAATGGGATCGTGGCGACACTCGGAGAAGCTCGGGTACTTTGTCCTCCGCCTTTGGCAGAGACCGGCCCTGAAGGGACGCTTGCATTTGGGCGGGTCTCGGGGCTCTACACAGCAGTTGGGCATCTTGAATCGCGGACAATTGCTGGGATTCATCAGCTTGCAAGGCTCGGTGAGCTCGAGATCCAGCTTTCCGAGCACACACATGTTCACCGGACAAGGACTCTTTTTGACAATGCGCGCGCGCCGCTTAGGGCTTAGCGGCAAGGGGACGCACTGCATCTTGCGCTTGCGACACTTTACCACGCACTCTTGCCAAGTTCGCGGATACTTCCGTTTCAGCATGTCCTGGGGCTGGTAGTGGGTAAGGTCCCAGGCCTGCACATCGTTGGCGCACGGATCACTCAGGCACGCCTTGCGCTCACTAATGAACGAGGGGATGTTAAACTCTGGGTCCGAGCGGCACTTGTACTCCGTGCGACGCATCGTCTGCCAGCAGGCGTCAAACACCTTTGTGTTGTCTGGCGCCTTCAACGGCTGGATGTCTGTGCGCTCCGGAAAATGGGGGTAGGTCTCGGGGTCCCTGTGGTGCATCTGACTGCGCAATGGTTTCAGCAGTGCGCAGGTCAGACCTTGCCGAACTCGGGTCACAGAGAGGAGGGCCCAGATCTTTGGCTGCAGTAACTCGGCCATAATTTTGATTAAACCGAAATATTACGCTGATCTATCATTCGGATCAAAGAAATTTTGAAGTTAAAAGGGGTAAAACAAACCAAAAAATAAAAAGAAACCCAAGATCAACCATACACGTGTCTTTTCTCTGAATCTGTTGTTGAAACTAAAGAAGTCATAATTCTGGTTAAGCTTTTTGACAACAGGACTGAAGTAAGTATCATGGGTAGGTCGTTCGGGAATTTACTAACTTATACACGGTTGAAAAAACAACAATAATTCTCTGATAATCAAGAACATAACAGTTTAAAAATCACATTACAAAAATTTCCTGCACAAAAAACCGGTTACAGAAGTCTTTGTGAAGAGAAAATTTTACCTCGAACAGCTCCGGTATTTCCCGTCCATTTAATGACCTTTGAACGTGGAACCCTCACCCACTGGACCGCTAATCGAGGGCCGAAGCTTTTGCGCCTAGTTTGCAATTAAAATCGATTTTCCACTTTGATCGGGGATTTCGGATTGCCAAAGCTGCCCTGCCCACAAGCCCGCTGTGCCCTGTGTTTGACGTCCATTGTGTCGATTTGTTTCTGTCAACGTCTGGGCTCCAACATCCATCCGGGCGCCATCCCTTTGAGCAAATTTTAATGAAATTAGAAATTCGCACGCGCAGAAAAAAAAAAACTGAACGCGTCGGCGTTGAATTCCGGGCACACTCGTCGCCTCGATTACTTGTCAATTGTGAAGCATTTTTGACTGTGATTGCCCTGGAAACGCGCCTGTAGCCATCAATCTGCGCTGCTTGGACACAGACTGGTTCGTCGCGTTCTTTTCTTTCTATCAAAAGTCATCGAACAATGGACACGGATACTTTGGCACTAGAGTCACTGATGATTGACGTGCTCTTTGGGGAGTAAGTTCCGACATTAGCCAAGTCAGAAGAGGTAAAGATATAAAAACTGCGTCTCCACTACAATATTTCTTTTATTTCTTAACTTAAATCCATGCAATTAATTAATATCAAAACCCAAGCTTAGGTGGAAGGTGGAACTCGACACTTGAAAAGAATAATAAAAAGAAAAAAAAAGCAGACAAAAAGCCAATCATGTCCAAATAATTGTTTATTTTCAACAAAATTTATTGTTCACTGCACCTGGGGCATGCCCCAAAACACAGCCCATAACATGGACAGGGGCGAAGCGAGAGAGAGCAGATGTGTTTTCCGGCCTTGTATGGATTTTCATTTGTACTCGGAACATGAAAACTGAATGCCATCATGAGTGCAAATGTTGTATATAATTTGCACGACAAACAAATGAGTGCTGGGACGAGACAGCCGGCAAGCGAGTTCGCTTTGGGTTTGTGCTGTGTTGACCATTCAGCTTGGATAAATAAAACATGTAAGCTCTTCATTAAATATTTGCTATCAAAACTTCAATGCCATTGTACGCGGGATATTGGGTACTTAAAGCTCCCCTCTTTTGCGTTGGAGGGAATTTACTGTTACTGAAAGTTACTGTTTAATTTCTTTATTTTTATACCCTTGCAGGGTATTATAATTTCAGTCAGAAGTTTGCAACGCAGTGAAGGAGACGTTTCCGACCCTATAAAGTATATATATTCTTGATCAGCATCAACAGCCGAGTCGATCTAGCCATGTCCGTCTGTCCGTCTGTCCGTCTGTCCGTCTGTCTGTCTGTCCGTCTGTCCGTCTGTCTGTCTGTCTGTTTCTACGCAAACTAGTCCCTCAGTTTTAAAGCTATCTGAATGAAACTTTGCATATAGTCTTCTATATGCTCTCACTGCTATATATGTCGGAACGGGCCGGATCGGACGACTATATCATATAGCTGCCATACAAATGTTCGATAAATTTTTAGAAAAAAAATTATAACTTGGCTGTTTTTCAATATTTTTGCATCATTTTTGAGATATAGCCATTTTATAATATTCCAGAATTTTGGTAAAAATTTTATGAAAATCGGACGACTATATGATATAGCTGCCATAGGAACGATCGGGAAATTAATAGAAATAAAATTATAGCTTCGTTGTTTTTCAACGCATTTTTATTTACTCTGAGATATAAGTTTTTTTTATTATTCTAGAATTTTGGTATAAATTTCATAAAAATCGGACAACTATATCTTATAGCTGCCATAGAAGCGATCGGTAAATGTAAAAATATATAAAGCTGGGAATGTAAAACTGTACCTGTCAAACTGTAAACATAATAAGTATAGGTAAAATGTAATGAAACTCTGTTTTGTGAGTGTTTTCAGCATTTAAATCTATAAAATAAACATCAAAACCAATCTGCAAGGGTATACAAACTTCGGCGTGCCGAAGTTAGCTTCCTTTCTTGTTTATTATTAGTTTGAAATTAAAAGTATAATATTTACAACTAATATTGATTTGTGAAAAAAAGAGCCTCTCCTATACAGATTTCCGATATCCTCAAGTTACTTTTAGAATTGATACAGTATTTCGAATACGCTTTTACCCTGCTGTGCACTGTTCAGTGGCTGGCAGCCAAAGTAGCTAACTAGCAAACCAAGGACGACGGGCGGCAAAGTTCAAATTCAATTACCTTTCAAATATTTGCATTTTGTGACACAAACTTTCATCATAATGCTGCACAGTGGCTGCCACTCGAATGCCACTTGAAAGCGGCCGGCGGATGGCAAAAGGCGGATGATGGTGGGTGGTGGTTGGTGAGTAGGGAGCTTGAGTGGGAGACGACTCTCTGGCAGGAACGATAAAGAACAGACCGACGGGAAGCGGCACTCAAAACAGTTGCCGCTAATGTTGCCCTTCTTCCTTTGGTCTTTCCAACGACAGCGACACAACGTCGTCGAGTTTGGGAACGACAATGACGTTAACTTTCGCCGCCTACCGTATCCCGGGCCTTCCCGGTACCCGGCACCCGGTACCCAGTTTCGAAACAATTACAAAACAAAGGCCATGGACTACAGGCCCCTGCAGCATGGTCCACGTTGAATGTCGGGCGCATAAAAAATACCCAAATAAGCCAATTTCAAAACAGAAATTGCAACATTCACTGCGTCGCCCCACTACTCCTCTGGCTTGTGCTGCACGTGGCACAGAATACCTTGAATGCCCCTGAAGCGAGGCTGGGGCATACTCGTAAAAGTAATCTTGCCATGCTCATGCTTTATATATTAGGGACTTGAAAATTAAAGATTTAATATAAGCACAACTAATATTGTGGGTGTTTGTTTGGGTTTGATTTTGTTGTTTCATTTGATCATATGTTTGTGTACAAGAAATACAACTTACACCTTTAGGGCACAGATTCTTCTAATCATAAGATACTATTAGAAAAATGGGTACTCCTAAAAACAATGTTTAATTTCCTGATTTGTCAGACATTAATCCTAAAGCTTTTTTTTGAAAATTAGTAAACGAGAAAGATTTCTTCTTTTAGCTATAATAATTTTCTTATAAAGAAACAGTTACCAAAATAAATTATAACATTATATATATTATACATTATTGCTTTCTCAAATTCGCAGCTGAGACGAGACTAATGCCTCGCCCAGCATCTGAAATGGATGTACAGAAGTTTGTCATTTCTTAACCAGACAGAGAATGCATTATGCAACAGGGTAGTCGCCCACTGACGTCGCATGCTAACCCTATTTACATGCTGAGTTCCCTGGGAAATGGCAAATGAGAGACCTGCGCAGAGGACCAAGGAAAGCGACTATAGATCCGCAATGAGCATAGGTAGTAGGGCTTCGCATGACTCTTTGCCTCAGCTTCCGCGTGCATGTGGCAAAATGAAGCTTCCATCTGCATATGTATAATATGTATAAGGCGTGGACTTACATTCATCGTATGAATGCCCTCCAGCACGATATAAAATGCATAGAATTTTCCTTTTAGTCGATGCGTTTGGAGTAAAATTCATATTATGCATGGAGCTGTCTCAACGAAGCCAACTACTAAAATGCAAGAAACGTAAAGCTGCAGCGTAACAAGAAAATTCTGAACTAGAATCACATTCGGGAAATTCGTGTAAAGTCATCAACTTGACATTAAGTGAGGATCTCAATACATTGCATTCTTTTAGGCGGAATATTCATAAATCTGATTATATTTTATAACTTGCAATACAAAGCACTTACCAATTATATTTCTTTTAGATCTTTTGCTTTTCGTTTCCCATAGATCAGTGAGTTTTGTGGGAAATTTATGATTTGGGCCACCACAAAGCCATGGCTTAAAGAACAAAAAGAACTAGTTAATGGGAAAATATGTGGGGATTGCTCTGGGTAATGTGTGATCTGGGTGCCCTGTCTCGGGCGGCTAAAAATACAGCTGCTGTCGCTGCAGGAGTCGGCATAGGACAATGGGGGCTGTCATCTACAATGAAGATGAGCAGCAGACTGGCTTGAATGAGCTCGGTATGGAAAATGTATGGAAAAGAGCAGAGAGTAGAGTGGGCAGGGGACTGTCTGGTCCATACACATAGAGCAAGGCAAACAATAAGGGCGACGGCTTGCATAGGCCACCCCACCCACACACGCATATATGTAGGTACATGTAGGAGGGGTCATGAAATCCTTTGGCCAAGTTTACTTCTGTCCTCGTCATCGTTGCAGTTTCCTGATTCCAGCATTGTCTTTATGCCGGCTTAATCTGTGTCAAAAGGCGTAAGTTATTACAAGCCGGTCACGCCCACTTGGCTGCATACAGCAGCCCAGCGAGATGGCGGGCTATGAGCCAAGTCAAAGGTTTATCTCGTGTTAACGGCTTTTATGCCTCTTCCCCAATCAACTAGGTTTGATCGAGTCTCTCCTTCTGATTTTATACAGCTAGTTTGAAACGGCTTTTTGAATACATATTCAATTTAAAAATCAATACTATTTTATAGTTTATTAAACTTATTTGGATCTATTAATATGATCCTAGCTTTGAAGTTAGGATATGTGTGAAGGGTTGATATGTGGTCCATATGTATGGTTTGAGTGCCCTTTGAATCGTGTTTCCTCTGGCTTTTCAAGAAGTCATCCAGCGCATAGATTCCATTGCACCAACGGATGCTGCTGTCCGGTTGTTCAAGCGAATCCTGCTGGATTTTTATTATCAACAATATATATATAAAGCTATTTTAGTTGATATTTGTTAAGTGGGAGCCAAAGATAGATCGAGGGGGAGGAGAGCCAAGCAGAAAATAGAA